ATATACAATATAACAAAGAGTGAAAAATTTAAGGGGGTCTGAATACTTTCCGTACCCACTGTATATATATAATGTATTTATATAAAATAAAGTATAATGAAGAGCTGTTCTGCTTGAAATGTCATAACATTTTCTGGTGGAACTTAATACATTTTTTTTGTGGGAGCAACAGTGTGCTGACTTTGTTTTGCATTTTTATGTACTTTTTTGGTCATGCACCTATGCTTCAGACATTTTAGGATGTGCATGTTTTTTATGTTCCTTAACATCAAATTATAAAATACATATTTTTGTAAAGTAACATTCATATATAAAATGTATTTATATAATACATGAACATATAAAAGAAACGTATTTCTAAATACTTATGTAAATAATGTTTATATAAATATAATATATATATATAATGTTTTGTTATTTGTATAAAATACATTATAACATTTTTAAATGTGTATATATGTATGTGTATTTATCTAATTTATATATAAATGACATTTAATTTAAATATTTTCACTCATGTTAAACTAATGTCATATAAATAATACATTATATACATTTAAAGTATACATGATTTATATTTAAATTACATATAAATATTTAAAAAAAATGTAATAATATGTAATATAAAACTTTCGGACATGTCCTCAGAATGGACCAGGACCAAATTCCAAAGACTGCCCTGAGATGGACAGAAGAAAAGAACAAAAACAAGAAGTGGAAACAAATCACTAATGCCTTCTGTCCCACTAGGGATGAAGAGGAGTAAACAAGTGAGTAAATACAAAACTAATGTCAAACTACTTTTTGTTTGTCCGTTTTGAATCGTTCACATGACTTATATCAGTGATGGTCGGCAGTCAGTCTTACTCTTTGATTTGAACTATTTTGCTGTTTCTAATACAGTTACTGCATTTTCTAATTTATTGCCGTTTTGCAGAACATCTGAACTTTGTGTTTTGTTGACAGTGTTGTGACCCTCCTATCTGCCTGCAGGGAGTCCTCACTGACTACAGCAGTACAATGAGCCACCAGTGTTTCATTCAGAGCACATGCTAATAATGCTCCTCTACTCATGAACAGCCCATTACAGCACAGAGACGCTCTTGTGTTGAAGAGGAGAGCCGTGAGTGAGCCAACATCACTGTTATTCCACACACACTATAGAATCAAGGCTGCGTCCCAATTCACATAGTATGCAAGACCATGTGTGCGAATCTCACAACAAAAAAAATGCTCCACTTACCCCAAAATCAAAAGAAGGAAATAATTATTATATTTTGCAGGAAGATGAAAATGAAGCCTATTATTTTAGAACGTAAGATGTTTGCATTGTGACATCATTTTCATAACAATTAAGCACGTTCTCACCTTAAATTCTCATAACGGTCATGCTTGCACATTTTACTTTTAGTTTTTTTGTTGTTGTTGTTTATGTAATCTCATTAGGTTATCATTATTGAAGTACAGTATTTTTACTGTATTGCAATTAAAAAATTGCATTTGCAATACAATTTTATTTTAATCATTTATTCATATTTATTAAATCATATTTTAGTCAGTATTTAAGTATTTCTTGCTTGCAAGAAAGTCCTAAACAAGTCCTAAAATGTATTGCAAAAATGTTATTACATTTATTGCAAAAAAAAGTTCTACATTTTATAGCAATAAAGCCCTAAAACGTATTGCAAAAATGTCCCAAAATGTATTCAAAAAGTCCTAAAATGTATGTCCTAAAATGTATTGCAAAAATGTCCTAAAATTTATAGCAAAAATGTTGTAACGTACTGCAAAAAGGTCCTGACATTTATTGCAAAAGAAGTCCTAAAATTTATCGCAAGAAAGTCCTATAGTTTATTGCAAGGCCTCCTAAAAAGTAAAGAAAAATTCATTTTCTTTCTGTAAAATTTGATTTCTTTCCAGTGATTTTTGGGGTGAAATATGACCTGGACATGTTCTTGACAGGTTTCAGGAGCTCTCTGGCAGAGTACATACTTTTAGTAAAAGTATGTGAATTGTTACACGGCCAAAGAAGGCTCCGTACTTATATCGTCACACAAGAAATGATCACCGATTTATTTGATGTGCACAAACCTCTGCCATCCGCTGATCCTCATCAATCGGCACAAACTTGTCGTACATGCCGTGCACCAGCAGTATGGGGCTGGTCAGCTCGGCGTGGTAAACTTCATCCCCCTCGGGCCAGTACTGACCGCTCATCATCGCTCGCAGAACGAACGGAGACACGTTAAAAGCGTTTCCCTCTTTCAGAAGCTGCTTCTCTTTAGCGCCCTGCCTGGCGAAACCAGCTCTGAACGGAAAACAGAAGAAGAGTTTTTACCATGCTACAGGTTATGCTCAAACGACTCTTGTTTTTGCAGAAGTTGTTATCTTGGGCTCTTACTTGAGGAAGCTCCAGGCCAGGCATGGAGACAGACAGTGTAGGACGCAGGAGGGCAGCTGGAAGATGGAGCACAGGCTGGGCTCCAGGGCCGTGGGGCCGCCTCCATTGATCATCACCACTTTATGCACCTGCTCCGGATACTCGTGTGCCAGGAACGTACAGAACGACACCCTGCCAGTAAGAAACACAAGGCTTCTGTGAATTATAGAATTACAGTAGCAGTCAAAGTTTGGCACGCTTGACTAAATCAGTGTTATTTTAGTATTATCTATATAATATTGTAGTATTTATTAATATTTTTGAATTAGATTTTATTTTCATATTTTCATTTAGCAAGTTTTAGAAATTTTGTGTCACTTTGATTTAGTTTTTCTTTATTGATATATTTCAATCTAACTTTGTTTATTTTATTGATTTGTGCCTAATAATTTTAGTACAATTATAATTTATTTAGTATAATTTTAGTATTTTATTCCAGTTAGTCTCCAATGCCACATTTTTTAATTTAAGTTAGTTTTTCATAAAAATATTTCTATTTAATTTTTTCAGCTTTATTTATATTAATGAAAGCAGTTATTAATAGTTTTAGTTTTAGAAATATTTATACACTAATATAGTATTTATTAATTTTGTGACGTGCATTCTTTTCGGCTCGTTAAAAATAAATCTTGCTGCCGCGTTCTGGTTTCATTGTAAAGGTTTGATAGAAGTGGCTGGAAGACCTGCCAAGACAGCATTGCAATAGTCCAGCCTGGACAGAACAACAGCTTGAACAAGGAGTTGTGAAGCATGTTCCGAAAGAAAGGACCTGATCTTCTTGAAGTTGAATAAAGCAAATCTGCAGGACCGGACAGTTTTAGCAATGTGGTCTGAGAAAGTCAGCTGATCATCAATCATAACTCCAAGGTTTCTGGCTGTTTTTGAAGGAGTTATGGTTGATGTGCCTAACTGGATGGTGAAATAGTGATGAAACGATGGGTTTGATGGAACCACAAGCAGTTCTGTCTTGGCAAGGTTGAGTTGAAGGTGATGGTCCTTCATCCAGCAAGAAATGTTTGTTAGACAAGCTGAGATGAGAGCAGCTATCGTCGGATCATCAGGATGTAATGAGAGGTAGAGTTGAGTGTCATCAGCATAGCAGTGATATGAAAAGCCATGTTTCTGAATGACAGAACCTAGTGATGCCATGTAGACAGAGAAGAGAAGTGGTCCAAGAACTGAGCCCTGAGGCACCCCAGTAGTTAGGTTAGTAGTTAGTAATACTTTTTTAAATAATTAAAACTATTTTGAATAGCTAGATTTGTAGTAATTTCTCAACATTTTACAGTTATTTTAGCAGATTAAAATTAATCATCAGAAATGAGTGTCCATGCTTTTGACAGATACTGTATAATGCAAAAAACACGCAGTGAATTGAAACGCAATGTTTACCCGTAGGAGTGACCGATGAGGATGTTCCGTTTTCTGGCATATCTCTTAAATATGGCGCGCAGGTCCTCGGCGAGGGCATAGAAGGTGTACGCCGCCGCTATCTGAGGGGCAGTGCTGGCGCCGTGTCCCGCCAAATCCGGGGCGATGACCTCGTAACCCAGCCGCGAAAAGAAATCCAGCTGACTCCCCCAGATGTGCAGCGAGCCGCCCACGCCGTGGATGAAGAAGAGCGCCACGTCCGAATGCATCCCCTTACAGCTGCTGATGCAGCGCTCCGTATCGATCAGCACGGTGCGCTTGGGTCTCCGCCGCCGGCGTCTAGGTGGGGGAGCCGGCTTCTGCTGGTCTGAGGTGGGGAGAGGCGGAGCGGGTTTGGGATCGGGGGATGAGGGCGCGGTGGTGTAATCGGACAGCTCCACCTCCACTGTACTGCACTGCTCCACGTCTCCGTTCTGGCACTGCAGGATCTCGGAGTGGAGGACGTCGCCCAGGTTCTCGATCACCAGCTGGCCGTTGCGGTACACCGTGATCTTGCGCTTGCAGTGGATGCTGCTGCCCGCTTCTGGTTGAGCTTCTGTCATAGCAGACCGTTCAGGGAGAATGTGGCGAACGCGCAGGACCCGACCCGGCTTCACCTCCACAAACTCGAATCCGTCAGCCGGCTTGCCGTCGGATGATTTGACCGGCAGCACGACACTGGTAGTCTTTCCCATCAGACAGCAGAAGATGCTCTCGGTGATGCTGGTCAACATGGTGCTGCGTTACCTGAAGACATACAATTACACACAGTCTGCTTAGACTGAACCTTAGATCTTTCAAATTACAACCATATTCTCTGAGTTTCATCAAATCAAAATTGAGCCTTTTTACATTTATGTTTTAAATTTAAGTTCCTTGGGCCAGAATTATGAAAATCTTAGGAAAAGATATTTTTTTTGTAAGTGTAATTCTTGACAAAATTCTTTAGTTCTCAAAACATTTTTTTTTCTCTTAATAAAATTACTAATTATAAATACATGAAATGATTTTCTTTTGTCTTGTTTTTCCAGTACAAATATCTAAACATTCTTAAATTAACATACATTTATTTGAAAAGCAAGATGACATAAGATATTAAGTCTAGTCTTCTGAGCAATTTCTGTTTAAAACAAGAAAACTATCTGCCAGTAGGGTAAGAAAAATAATCGTTTCCCTTTTAATTAAGTTTTTTTTCTAACCCCATTAGAAAATGTCTTTTTTTTCTGGTTTTAAGCATACACTTATTTAACTTTGATATATTTGTATTATTAAACAAGACAAAACTACTGAGTAAGAATAATTTTTTGCAGTGTAGCTACTGCTTATTACAAACATCCAACAATAGAATCATATCCTGTATACCAAAAGTATAGTATACCAAAACTGTAAAAATGTCTGATGTTGTAATGCTTAATATTTTAAACTAAGTAAATTCTTTAAACTGTTTACTTTTTGGAATTAATGCTAACTTGTAAAGGTTATTTATAATGATCTATATGACTTTTTTTCTCTTTAAATGTTATTAGTTTTTTGTGGAATACAAAATATACTTAAGACTTTTCTTAAGTTAGAAAATAAGAAGAAAATATTTAAATTTTATTAATAATAAAATTAGAATAATTGTATTCTTCAAAAGGTTTGTGAATCTAGCTCCTGGTCTTATTTTGACTGATTTATCAGTTATCATTATGTTTGTCTTCATAATCTTAAATCAAAATTTTATAATTTTAATAACTCTTTAAATCACAAAGTCCTTGCATATTTTTCAACAAATATTTTCATACAGAAGTCCTTGTTTAGGAGTCATTTACTCAATTGATCCCCATAAATCAATGCATCTACATCTTATTTTTTCTCACTGAATTTTTTGTTTTACTCAGAAGTAAAATGATCACCCATTTTCTCTTCAAAACTGAAGGGACCGTTCACCAATCACAGCTCAGTCCATTACCACAGATGTTCTCCGTTAAAGTTTGTGCATTTAGTCCAGGATCAGGAGGAAACCAGTCCATGCTGTTCTGCTGCTGAATAACTTTCACCCAGTTTAAATCTTCCTAACATCGTTTTAGCACCTGTTGCACTAATGCGGTGTAATTTCATTACAGTGGATATATTGTCAAACTCCCTCTGGTCTTTGTGTGGAGCTGCACAAAAGAAGCGCTGCATGGCCGTTCCTGCAAGCGACAGTATGACAGCTGCTGTCAGCAGGGCTTTCACAAAGACACCATGAAAAATGCAAACTACACTGCAGAGAAAGATCCAGAGAGCCTGCATGCACAAAGACACTTGTGATATTGAAGCCCATAGGAAAGAACATTACAAAAAGAATGCCTTCTGTTTCTTCTAGACAGCAATGAGATTAAATGGAGAGAAAATTAAGAAGTCTCCTACTTCTCAGATGTAGGAAAAAGACCCCAGCAGTCTCACACGTCATCTCTAGATTTTCAGAAGTGTCAAATGTTTCTCATCAACTTTTTCCAAATGATCTAAGCTGCTATTCACATTCATTTTTAACATTTTCTCATCCTCAGGCCATCCAAGATGTAGATGAGTTTGTTTCTTCATCAGATTTAGAGAAATGTAGCATTTCATCACTTGCTCACCAATGGATCATCTGCAGTGAATGGGTGCCGTCAAAATTAGAGTCCAAACAGCTGATAAAAGCATCACAATAATCCACAAGTAATCCACACCACCAAACCAGTGAAAAAGTCCATCTCCTGTTGTCGTCTCACATCAAAATTCACCCACATATTTGTTTAGAGCTGTTTTTGCTTGTAAACGGTGCTTGATTTGTGCAGATTTCTCTCCTGATTCAGATGTGATGACTTTTTCACTGAAGAAAGCAATTTTATGGATAGATTTTAGCCAGAAACAAACATGCAGCTTTACTTACATTACTTGTGGATTATTGTGATGTTTTTATCAGCTGTTTGGACTCTCATTCTGACGGCACCCATTCACTGCTG